AAGGAAGAGAGCTTGATTTTGGTTCATAGTTTCAACCAGTACATGGTTCCAAGGCAGAAACATCATGGCAGAACAGAATTTCAAAGGACAGATGTTCAACCCAAGGTGGCCAAGAAGCAGGAAAAGATAAGAAGAGCTGGGGTTGAGAATACACTCTTCCAAGTCATACCTCCAGGAACCCCTTCCAACCAATTCCACCTCCAAATGTGAGACTTTCAGAGGACATTTTAGATCTAAAACACAGCAGTCAGTAACCATGAAAAATCTATCAAGAGAATTACCCAAGCTAAAGAGCAAATTTAATTATACTTATATTAAAGAACAGTTTCAGTTATCTGTGGGACAGCATTGGGATATTTAGCATAACTCTAACTGGAGTCACAAAAGAAAATATAGGTTAGAAGAAATAATAGTTGAAAATTTCTACAATTCTATTTAACAAAAACTTACACATTCAAGAAGCTCAGTACATCCCGTGCAATATAAATACATAGAAAATCAAACAGAAATATACCATAAAATAAAGACTAGTACAATAACTGCAAGCCAAGAATAAAGAGAAAAACTCTGAAAAGTACCCACAGGAAAAGTTATGAATGAAATACATCACATGTAAAGGAAAGATTTTTATGAATATGACTGATTTTTCAGATGAAAAAATAAAAGTTACAGAACAATGGATTTATATGTTTTAAGGCCAGAAAGAAAACAAATTTCAACAGTAGTTTTATATCCAGCAAAAAATATCCTTTAAGAATGAACATATGGCTTCTCAGTGTCTGGTATGTTGAAGAAAGCATACTTTTCCTGTTCTTCCAATAAGTACAACTAGAAATCAGGGAGATAGATAGATAGATAGATAGATAGATAGATAGATAGATAGATCACACTAAAAGCTGGAAATGTAGAAAGTAGGAGATAGTTTGACCAGGAATCTCAGGACCCCCCCAAAAAAAAAGTACTGCTATGCTTTATAATATCTGGATTTCCCCACCAAACCTCAGGAACTCATAGGTGGGGTTTTTGGAAGGTGATGCTTCCAAATTATTATGCAGGCTTGTAACTGACTTGCTGATAGAAGGTGGGACCTAGTCAGAAGAGGCAGGTCACTGTGGGCATGATCCAAAAGGTTATATCCCCCTTCCTGGATCCTCTCTTGATTTTCTCTTCTTCTTGTACACCACGCTGTGAGCAACTTTCCCCCACCATGCCCTTCCACTATGCTGTTCTGTCTTGGAGCCAGATGCCTGTAGCCTGAATCCTCTGAAAACTGAACCAAAACAAACAGCTCCTTCCTTAAGTTGTGAGTGCCAGGTATTTTGTTCCAGCAATAAGGGAAGAAACTAAAACAGGTACTCTACTCCAGCCAAACACCAGAGAAAAAACTACAACACTACCCCCGACCCTGTACACACATATACCCTAGCAAAGCCTGGGTGGAGAGTTTAGACTCCTGGCCTCGTCACAGTATGCCACAAACTCCTCCACAGGCAACACCAAAGAAAGAACAATGGGGATCTAGGACACCTGCATTCTTTCTGGCCAGTAACTAGCTCCCACATCAGAATATCACTGAGGACCATACAGGTGAACAGGATGTACTGCCCCACTGGACATTAATGAAGCATCCCGTCCTTTTCAGAATGAGACTTTCTCCACCACTCAAAGGTAACATGGCCATCCATTAACAGCATCAGTCAAGACCATATGGAGAGCAATAAAAATGCACCCCTCAGCTCCAGCCAGGGTGGTATCAGTGGAAGCCTGGAGAGCCTGAGCTGCCATCTTGAACAAGGAGCTCTTCTTCCTGTAGATGTTATAGAGGTTGTGGGAAGAACATGGACTTCTATCCCCATCAAGGAATCATACTGGGATGCCTTCATTTATCCACCAGAGAACACAGAAGTAAGAAAGATCCAGACCCAGATGTCTGTTTCAATTTTAAAAAATCACATCATCCTGAAAGCCAGGAAAATCTCAAACTTAACAAAAAAACACAATCAACAATATTAATACACATGTTAGAAGGAAATCAATCACCATAAAAACACTATCAAGCAATTATAAACATCCTTGAGATGAATAAAAACATAAAAAATTTCAACAAAAAAGACACAGAAGATACATAGAAGGATCAAATGGAAATATGAGAACAACCAAAAAACAGAATAATAAAAGAAAGAAAACTCAATAGATGGACTCAAGAGAAAAATGAAGAAAAAATAATGAGTAAGCTTGAATACAGAATAGAAATCACTCAACTTACATAATCAAGATAAAACAGCCTGAAAAATATTAACAGGATGTCATAGACATATAGGATTAAGAAAAACATAAAGGTCTAATATTCAAGTTATTGGAATGTCAGAAGGAGAAGAGAAAGAAGGTAAGGGTGAAAAAAGAACTAAAACAAAGACATGATGAAAAACACAACAGATTCAAGAAGCTGAGTAAAATTCAAAGAGAATATATCCAGAGAAATTCACCCAAGGCACACTATATAAAACCTCTGAAAACTAAAGACAGAAATAAATCTTGAAAGCAATAAAAAAGAAAATACACATCCAATATAGGAAAATCAATTGTAATGATACTGATTTTCTCATCAGAAACCTTAGAGGTCTAAAGAAAGTGGTAGAATATTTCCAATTATTAAAATAAAAGAATTATTAAACTGAAATTTTATATCTGGTAAAATTATTCTTCAGGATTATCAGAAAAATAAAGGCATTCTCAAAGAAACTAAAAGAATTTGTTATTAGCAGAGCTACTCCTAAAGAATGAATAAAGGAAGTTCTGTAAATAGAAAATGACAAAAGAAGGAATCTTAGAATATAAAGAAAAGAGAAACACAATAAGCAACACCATGAGTAAATAAAGTGGACTTTTTTTTCTTGAGATTTATAAACTATTGTTTGATGGTTGAATCAAAGCTATAGCATATAAAAGAAAATAAATTTTAAAACTAGCACAGTCAAATGTTCTCGGTATATGAAAAGAGAATAATACATATTATTACAAATGGGAAGGGAAAAGGAACATAAAGAAAAACAAGTTTCTGCTTGTCATTCACACTGATAAGATCTAGACATCAATAAATTTTTTAAATTCAGGTACTTATAATACCTAGCACCTCCACTATGAAAACCATATGAAAAGCTTCAGCAGAAAGCACTATAATAAACAAAAACAGAATTCAAAAAAAGTTTAGGTAACCTAAAAATAGGCAGGAAAACAAAAACAAACAAATGAAAAAGAGAGGAGGAAAAAGCAAAAAATAAAATGGCAGATGAGCCTTAATGTACCAATAATTAACTGCATTAAGTGCAAATGGTCTCAATGTACCAATTAAAGTACAGATTGGTAAAGAGGTTTTAAAAACACACATATTATGGGGTCTGTAAGAAACTTCCCTTCAAATACAATTATGTGCAAAAGTTAAAAATATAAGAATAGACAAAGATCACAAATATTAATAAAAAGGAATCAGAAGTCTCTATATGACAAAAGCAAACTTCAGAGCAAAGAATATTCTTAGGAACAGAGTAAGAAATTATATCATGATAAAAGTGCCGTTCTCCAGAAAGACATAGCAACCCTATATATATGCACCAAACAATATAACAGCAAAACATAAAGCAAAAACCAGTAGAACTGAAACATGAAATGGACAAACCCACAATCATAATTGAAGGCTTCATATTGTTTTTACAGCAACTGATAAAAACTAGACAGAATATAAACAAGAATACTTGATAGCACCATCAATGAACAGAATCTAACTGACATCTATAGAAAGCTCTATGCAATATAACAGAATACACATTCTTTTTAAGGACCTATAGAATATATACCAAGATGAAGCATATCCTTGGCTATAAAACCTGTCATGCTAAACACATCTGTCATCCCAGAACTCTGGGAGGCTAAGGCAGGAGAATTGCAATTTCAAGCCCAGGATAGGCAATTGAGCAATTTAGTAACTTTTCTATCTAAAAAAAAAAAAAAAACTAAATGGCTAGGAGTATAGATCAATGGGAAGGCTCTGAGCATAATCCACAATACTGAAAAAAATTAAAACAACTCTAACTAGAGTATGTCCTCTGTCTAAAATTTAAACACTAGAAATTAACATAAAAAAGACAACAAGAAAGCTGCAAACACTTAAAAACTAAGCAACATACTTCTAAAAAAATCCATGGGCCATAGAGGAAGTCTCAAAGGAAATTAAAAATATTTAAAAGTGGAAATGATAATATAGCATATAAAATATTGTGAGACATGGCTAAGCAGCACATAGAAAGAAATCTGTAGCACCATGTTTCTGCAGAAAAAACTAGTAAAATAAGAGTAAATAAACCCAAAACAACTTGAAGGAAACAAATAGTAAAAATCAAAACCAAAGTCAATGAAACAGCAGAGAAAAATAATTAAACAAAAAGCTATTCACAAGGCCAATACACTGCTTGCCTTACAAGCACAAGGTCCTGAGTTCAATACCCAGTACCCCCCCCCAAAAAAAGACCAATAAAATTGACCAATAATAACCTCAGCAAGACTGACAAATATAAAAAGAGAATAGAATAAATTACAGATATTAGAAATAAAATGGAATTTCAGTAAAAATACTGCAGACATCAAAAGAATAATAAGGGAATACTAAAAACAATTCTATACACATAAATTGGGCAAGTTGAATAAAACAAATCAAATCCTATTGCTTCTTTGGCCTTTTAGCTAAGATGAAGTATAAAATCAATCAAATCCTCAAAAGACAATCTACCATAACTCACCCAGTATAAAATTGATAGTTTAAATAGTCTTATACCTATCAAGGAAATTGATTTTCAAATTGATATGTTGGGGGTACACAAGCATTTTCTACTGATGGAGATGTGAAATCAAAGCAAATTTAAAGACCTGTGCTTTCTGAAGAGCTTTCAAAACACAGCCTCCTCAGAGGCTAAGCATAGCACGCTGGCTGTTTGTGAGCACTGTACCTTCACAATGTGGGAATCCAATCTGTGACAAGATTTGCTGCAAAGACAATTTGTTGGCCTTCAGCCCATGTCGTTGAAGCCATTTTGCAGATGAAATGAGACTCTGCTCAGCCAAGTCTACCCTGGACTTGCTCAGTCCCTCCTGCCTCTGCAGCTGCTGATCAGAGATGGTAGAACACATGCTTGGTTTCTCCATCACTGATTCTGGAGCTAGATCACAGGGACTACCTGTAAGGGCAATTGTCAAACTTAGATCTCATGGGAGCTTGAAAATAATTTAACATCAACAGAGGAGTAGTTAAATACATTGAATACCCATGAAATGGAATTCTATTTACCAGTTAAATTATAATATAGATGTATATTTGTTGGCAAGAAGGTATCTACATATATTGCTAAGAGGTATCCATAAACTTCAAAATCCATAAAAGTCAATATCTATATGTATGCACACACAGAAAAATACCCAGAAAGATATACACCAAAAGGTTTTCAGTATTTTCTCTACATGGTAAAAGTATGTATGACTTTGCCTTTTCTATATATTTCAAATTTTTGTGTTTTTGAAACATTTCTAAGATAAAATTTATCATTATAGTCAGGAAAATACAGAGCTCTTCCATTTTGTAAATAAACTCCTCAGAAGCAGCATCACACATCTGTATTATAATTATAACCCCACCTGACATCCAACAAAGATAAAGAAGATGAAACTCAGGGGGCCTGGCATGGTGATGCACACCTGTAATGCAAGCTACTTGGGAGGCTGAGGAAGGAAGATGGAGAGTTTGGAGCCAGCCTGTCTCAAAATAAAAATGGCTGGGGATATAGCTTAGCAGTGGGGTACTGAACATGCATGAGGTCTCAGGTTCAAGCCCCAGTACTGACACAGAGAAAAACACCTCCAAGAGGATGTATATCTGATCCACAGGTGGAGTGGCTAACCAGGGGGAGGTGGGTGGGTACCACAGCACAGCTTGGCCCCACTGGGAAACATGCACTTGCCTTCTGAATGTTTTCGTTTCTAAGACTTCACTTTAAAATTGGATTTAAGCATTTTCCTTCATGAAGCCAGCTGTTCTAGGATCAACTAAACTCAATGCAGAATGAAACATATCAAATTTCTGTGGCCCTGCCTAAATATAGCCACTGTGCCCAAGAGGAAGGGAGTGGTTGAATGTAACACAATCCTAAACCACTCACCACAACTGGGCAGGGCCTGGTAACTTGGAGGAAGTGTAGAAAGTCTGCTTACTTCTGTACCCAGAGTGAATAATGCGTATAAATTGGTTCCCTGGACTGTAAAACTTTTCAACAATAAAAATACCCCATTTTCTTCTTCTGAAACTATTTATATTTTCTGAAAGTGTCAGTGTTATGACACAGAAATTAGCCAATCACAAAAATCAGCTGGATGGAACTAGGGAGGTTTTGTGAAAAATGAGAAGAATTATGATCAGCAAGCATTTATTCTACATTATGGCATGTGCAATATAAATTTAATCCTTTTGATAACCTTGTGAGGTAGATTCTATTTGAATTCCCAGGACAGAGAAGGCTTAACTAGCTTGCTCACAGCTGGCAGAAGGTGTAACTGATTCTCACCCCAAGCCATTCAGCTCCAGAGTTGGTGTTCTTGCATCAGCTCCAATTTGCAGGCCAGCCACAGGGTAGAGACCTTAATATGCACTGCCCATGAGTTCCTCATAACAGCGTGAGTCATGCCCTTCTAACACTCCACTTACATTTGAGGAATAGGAAGCTTGGAGAATGTAAAGAGCTTGTTCATAAATTCTGCCACAGCCGGTAAGTGGCCAAAGCAGAAGGCAAAGCTACTTCTTAACCACCATTTTACCCTTACAACTAGCCTCCTTACAACTTACAGCTAGTCCACAGCTGTGTTCCATCAGCAGGAGTGTATTCTACTAGGGTTCCTGGGTCCCAAAGACAGAGAGCACTAATCTTGATTCTCAGAGCTCAAGCCCTACAGACTTCCTAGACATCATCTTAGCCTTGAATGACGATGATTCTGTTCCAAGGTTTTTGTGAGTTTGTATTGTCCATACATGTTGACTTCCAAAGGTATTCACATTCATATTATTGATAAAGATCCCACTTTCTGTCTTCAAGGCTAAACTTGATGAGTATGCCACAAAATTACTTGGAGAGCATCACAGAAGAGTAGAAACATTTAGAATTATCATTATAGTCAGGGAAATAGAATCAAAATGCTGGGTAAGACTATTCTGCTACTTTAGGAAATGACCCTGCCTCTTCATGATAGAAATACATTTGCACACCCTAACCCGGGGCTAGGACAAGGATCTAACAGGATGATACACAAGTTATGCACAGATGAGCACTTATTATATTGGAAAGAGCTATGTACAGAGAAACTATCTACAAGTCATTCTCCTTTGGTAACTGTGTCTTGTTTCCTGATACCCACTTCTACGATAGGCATGTTTCTATCTGCAAATTCTCAGTCATCTTGAACTATGAAGTTTAGAATGAATCATAGAACATGGAAACAAGAGCAGATCAGTATGCTTCAGCTTTCTCTTTGGGATCTGTCCACAGAGAATGCAACTGAAGTCCTTTTAAATTGGGTCAGTTGTTCCTATAGAAACAAGAAAAGGAAGCTCAGAGGAAGATTTCTGCTGGTTTCATCATTTCCAGCTCATATCTTTCTTCCCTGAAACACATCTATCTTCCTGCTGGAGGTAACTAACGGCATCTCCTAGATTTAAAGGGGAGCACTTTGATATAATAAATTTTCAGGGTGGATTTTGGAACCTTAAACAGGAGTTCAGAAGAGTATAGGCTTTATTTTATACCAAAAGGACACACATTTTTATGTTTTAATTAATTTTAAAAGAGTCTCAATCCCAAACAAAAGGCAATTAAATTCCCCAGTTTATCTGCTTAAGTCCCTTTTATGCTCATATTAGGGTTTTTAATTAATATTTGTTAAAATGTAATTGGGCCAGGAGTGGTGGTAATCTGGGGGTACGAAGGAGAGCTGAAGCAGGAGGAACACAAGTTTAAGGCCAGCCTGGGATACTTCATGAGACACTGTCTCAGTAAATAAATAAATAAATAAATAAATAAATAAATAAATAAATAAATAAATAAATAAATAAATAAATAAATGGGTCTGGGATATAGGTAGGTGGCAGAGCACTTGCCTAACATAGGTGAGGGGCTGGATTTGATCGCAAGCACCACACATACAAGCACATACACCCCACACACACACACCACCTGCTTTCCCATCACCCCACTGTGTGTGTGTGTGTGTGTGTGTGTGTGTGTGTAATTGGCTCTATTGAATCTGAGCACCTCTATGATTCATTGTGACTCAGACTTTAACTCTAGGGTTTTATAGCTTGAGAACACCTGTATTATCACAGATGAAAAGATCTGGAAAATGGAACTGAGCCAGAGAAAGCAAGGAAGGAAAGAGAGAAAAGGCATCTCCCAAGAGAAGGGCCCTTCTATGTTAGTGAGGTAGAGAACTATTCTGTCAGAGCAAGGAAGTCTGCCCTGAGCAAGAACATGACAAAGCAGACACACACACACACACACACACACACACACACCGCCTGCTTTCCTATTACCATGCTGACCCCCAGTGTTGAATCTTGGCCTGGAGAGCCTGTGTCAAGTGTTACCTCTGCCACTACACACCCCAGTGGCCCTCAGGAACCTTCCAATCTCTCCCTGGGGAAGCCTTAAATTCTGCTTTGCAACTTCATTACACCAGCCTTTGACACTTCAACTCTGTCCTCTCAGGACTAGAAGGTTCAATGCCCTCAGTGACAAACTACATGAAGGCTTTCAGCAGGCACTTTGTATGAGCATTGGGATGAATTAAATTGATCGCTCAGAACTATGTGTACTGAAAGAATCCTGATTGTTTGAAAGAAGCCAAAGGATTCACAGTTCCCACAAAGCTAATATCAGGAAACAACTTCCTTTCAAGATGTAGACATATAATTTTCTGGATATAACCATTTTGTTTATTTTATTATTAGTATTAAGAATTTTCTCATCTGAAATTATAATAAATTGGGGAACAGACAACCTCAGCATCAAAAACAATTAACATATCCCAGGAGAACATGGCCCTAAGTTGTGAAAGCTATCCCAAGAGCAGTAGAGATGTGGGAAAGAAAGCAATTTCCTAAAAAAAAAGTCTGAACTAAAGCTAGACACAGGTGAATAGAAAGGTTATGTGTCTAGCACAAGTCCAAAGGCCGAGCCACAGGAAGTTGGGGCCCCACATCCAGCCAGCCCTGTACTGCTGGTCTCCTCCCCTCATAGGTCAGCCAAGAGTTGCTCAAAGACTGGCCTGGGGAGAAAGTCTTGTGGCAGTCCCCATGCCCAGGAGAGGTGGTCCTACATGGTCTGTGGCTGAGGGACAATGCAAAATTTAGAGCCCTTTGATTCAGCTTAAACTGAGCTTTTGGTAAGCTTTTTTGTGTGAAGGAGTTGCTTGTTTTGTTGTTTCTGGCAGTTCTGGGGATGGAATCCAGGGCCTCATGCATGCTAGACAACTGCTCTACCACTGAGCGACACCCCAGCTCATACATCTGGCAAGCTTTGTGATCAATAACCCAAATGTGGTACTTTCTAAATAAGGAAATCAAGGCCAGGTGGATATATCCCATGATTTAAGTGAGTTTTGAATTTTCCTGAAAGAATGGAAACTGGGATGGTGCTCCCTAATGTATCTTCTACCATTGTTACCACACCCGCATTATTCAATCTTTAAAGGCAAGGCTGGGCTGTGATTATCAGCTCCAGTGATGTTCACAGAGGTAATGAGATGGAAATGGCTTGTCCTACAGCTGAGAAAATAGTGCCAAGAAAAGAAAAACTGAGACTAATTGAAGTGCTTTAGGGAGTTGATCATTGCTGAGAAGAAACAAAGCTCCCAAGAAGATGAAAGGAAAAATTCTACGAGGTGAAAACCGAACCTAATTATTGTTTTATGCCCATATTAAACAGAGTCAAAAAAAGAGATGCGATTGTAAAGATCACATATGTGGAGCAGGAAGCAGCGAGACACTTCTCCAAGACTGAAAGTTGTTGAAAGCTTTAGAGCAAGCAGATGGCTGGGGGAGGGGGGTAGACTATTCATAATTATCATTATTTATTTATTAGAAATAAGTTTCTCCTCCTTCTCATATTTCCTCCAAAGTCCTTCATCATCATATTACTGTTGTTATGGCACAGAAAGAAACTAGAAGAGCTGATTCTCTGCCAGCGCAGCTGGAGCTTCTGGGAGAGTGAGGTACAGGGTGAGTGTGGGGGGATCCTCTAGACTAGGAGAAGAGGGAGGGGTCTCCTCCAGGATTGGCTTGATCCTACAGTTAAATGAGTCTGGCCAGACTACTGAGCTTTCCCAGGGCTGTTCTGCATCTACAAAGAGGGAGTGGGGTCCAGCTTTGAAACCGTATACGTTCAGATTTCATTTGCCACCTGCCCAATAGCTCAGTACCTTGGAAGTTCTGGCTGTCAGGATGATGTCCCCACACTTACTAGGCAATCTGTCAGGTGGAAGGCAAGGCGGCTCCCTTTCAGCAGAGCTCCTGCCAACCTCCGGGGTCCGTCTGAACTGAGAGGGCGGGAGAGGCAAGCATCCCGCTGGTCCGTAAAGAAGTGATCCGCGTGGGCTGTAAGGGGCAGAGCTCAGCGCCAAAGGTTCCAGACCACCAAGGTCTCTGTTGACGATGGCGTCGCCGCGGTTGCTAGGACACGGCCAATCTCGGTGCAGCTCGCGGAGAGGGACCAGCCCACAGAGGGCGCCCAGCGGAAGAGGCCCAGAGAGCCCGGGCGCTGGGGGCAAGTCTAGGGGAAGGTACTGAATGCCAGATGAACAGGGCGGATGGCATTGACCCCGGTGCGTACAGTCACTTAGAAAATTAACAATGGTGAATATTAATGAATTTAAACAAATACGCAGATGCTTCTACTAAGGAGCCCGGAAGCCAGCAGATCGTGGAAGTGTTCTCTTCACCACTCAGTGGAGAAAAGGAAACAGAGCTGGGGAGGTTAGTGATAGACTTGGGTGGGGCTGAGACACTCAGAGGGACAGTGAGCTGCAGTTTTGCACCTTGGGAGGCAGGGACTTATCTACTAGATAGGAGTATTCCGTTAGGCATGATGCTCTCCATGCAGATTTACTTTTAGCCCTTCTGTTCCTTTTCGATATCAGGTAAGCAAAAGACTCAAAAATATGTACCTACGATTTTTCCAGGCACTAGCACACACACACACACACACACACACACACACACACACACAAAGTTTATTTTTAAATATTTTAAATTTTTAATTAAAGATTCCACAGGCAGATATTGTTTTTAGCATCTGGAATATGAATAATGTTTTAGATTTTAAAACTGATCAAATCATTTGTAGGTTTTTGAGTCAAAGCTCTAATAAAACATATTTAAAATTAGAACTAATTCTATTTCACATACAGTGGTTTGTTTTTCCTTTATTCTTTTAATGCCTTTATAATTAAAAGAGTACTGAAAGGTTTAGTTAAAGATCACATATCATTTCTGTGAAGTGATTAGGTTGTCTACCTTTGGCCTTGGAAATGACATATGCCATCTGTACCACCAAAAAAAACAAACAAAAACTTGACAGCACTAAAGATTCTATTCCAAAGGATAGGCAAATACCAGCTGTGCCCACATTTTCCAGGGCCACATAATCCCTTCTATCTGCACCCTGCCTGTTAATATTCCTCAGTCACCAAGGTGAGATCCAATTGAAATCCACTGCTCCTGTGGTCACACTGGGCACACCTGTCCCACCCCACCCCATCCATGCCTTCTTGCTTCCCTGGGACACTTGCCACAGATGCACAGGGCTCTTCCTGCCTGCTAGGTTTATGGGCCCATAAGCACACATTCTTATGAAAATATTAATGAAGTGAGCAAAATGTCTAAGTCATTTTGAAGTCTGGCATAGCTGAGTTCATTTCAGCTAGCCACAGGATGGATTGCATCATTACTTGTTGAGTGATGTGAGACAGCAGAGATCACTTTGCACAGCTGTGATATACCATTGTACCACGCTTTAACAAACTGGTTTTCATCTTTTTTTTTCTTTTTATTGAGTTTATTGGTACAACCTAGGTATACAATACAGTTGCATTCATTATTGGGATCCTGTACCTTTACATAATAGGTCTTGATTCTCATTTTTTCTCCTTGTCCCTGCCCTCCCTTTACCCTCTCCTCCCCTCCCCATTTACAAACACTTTATTTCCATTTTTTCAATTTCTCATATTTTTTCCTCTCCCATATTACCTTTCCCCCACCCTTCCCACTTTCCCTACACCTTTAGCCCTTTACTTCCTATTTCACATTATTAAGTATCTCATTAGGATCCTGTGTACTATTATAGTTTTTCACACCAAAGAAACTATTCGATATTTCAGTTAAAGAAATCTCTGTATGAACATTAAAATTAGGGAATCCTAAAATAAAACTAAAAAGGAAAGTAAAAGAGAAAAGGCAATGATGTAAGATTAAAATAATCCTTAATTCTGGAGATGAAAATGGTCCCTTAACATATTTAAATTGCTTCTTGCTCTTGTAGTCTTATCTTATTCTTTTTTTTCATTATTTAGAGAATACTTTATTAATTTCTGTAATCAAACCTACATAGATATGACCTTACATATTTAATACAGTGTATTACCCCTGTACAAATGGAAAAAAAAATAAAAAATTAACATTTCTAGACCAATATGGCTGCCCATTTCTGTACAATGCCAACTCAAAGCAGTAAATTGGGATAACTTTTTCCAAAGTTGACAGCACCGTTAAAGTTTCCATTAATACAGTGTATTACCCCTGTACAAATGGAAAAAAAAAAGAAAAGAATAATATCCAGAAAACAGCAAAGTTCTGTTATTGTTGTGGTACCTGGCACCATTTTTTTTTATTAGCATCTTAATCATCATCTGGAAAGAGAACATTCTAGAGTAATATCATTAAATATAGCTCTGATAAAGCACGGTCACTCCTATGTATCATAAAGCTGGTACTAGATATTTTACATTCAGAAAAAAAAAAGAAAAGAATAATATCCAGAAAACAGCAAAGTTCTGTTATTGTTGTGGTACCTGGCACCATTTTTTTTTATTAGCATCTTAATCATCATCTGGAAAGAGAACATTCTAGAGTAATATCATTAAATATAGCTCTGATAAAGCACGGTCACTCCTATGTATCATAAAGCTGGTACTAGATATTTTACATTCATAGAGGTATGATACAGTACCATCTGACACTAATAATACTACAATCAGTTTTGGTTTGAAATTTACTTTGTCTGCAAATAAGATTGCTACCCCTGTTTTTTTCTGGGCTCCTGTCACATGGAGAATTGTTTTCCATTCTTTCACCTTCAGTCTATGGGCTTCTTTTTGCACTAGGTGTGTTTCTTGCATACAACATATTGTTGGATTTTGCTTCTTATTCCTTTTTGCCAGTCTATTTCTCTTGATTGGTGAGTTGAGGCCATTGACATTGCTGGTTATAACTGATATGTACTGACTTATTATTGACATGTTATTGTCCTTTTGTTGACTCTTTTTACTTTTTCACCTTCTCCTTTTAGTTTCTTGCCTTGCCTATTTGATTTGCTGTGTTGGGCCTCATGGTGTTGCTGCCTTCTTTGTCTTTTTCTAGGATCTTGTTTAGAATTTCTTGTAGTGCTGGTTTGGTATTCATGTAGTTTCTCAGGTGTTCTTTGTCATGGAAGTATCTTATTCCCCCATCCATTTTGACAGAGAGGTTTGCAGGATACATCAGTCTAGGTTGGAGGTTGTTCTCTTTTAGTACTTGAAATATCTCATTCCAGACTCTCCTTGCCCTAAGGGTTTGTGTTGAAAAGCCTGCTGTGATTCTGATGGGCTTCCTTTGCATGTGATTTGTTTCTTTTCTCTTACTGCTTATAGTATTTTGTTCTTCTGTTGGATTTCTGGGGTCTTGATTAGTATATGTCTAGGTGTACATTTTTTTTTGATCATGGCTAGTTGGGGTCCTTTGTGCCTCACTTATCTGAATGTCAAATTCTTCCCCTCTGTTTGGGAACAGCTTTTTTAAGTCATTTGTATTTTCTCCTGCTACTTCATGTATTCCTATCAGTCTTATGTTATTCTTCTTTGCATCATCTAGGAGTTGTTGGATCGATTTCTCATGATCCCCTACTGTTTTTAAGAGAGACCTCTCTTTTCATGGTCACTGACTGCAATCATATCTTCTATATCTGAGAGTCTATCTTGGCATTCTTTTATTCTGTTGGGTACACTTTCAATGGAGTGTTCAATCTCCTGGATATCTGTTTGAATCTGTTTTATGGATTCCATTTCTTTCCTATGTTGGGCATTTATTTTTTTCCATTTCTTTCTTATGCTGGGCCTTCATGGCTTCTATTGTGGTCCTGAGCTCATCTATTTTTTTGTCAGTTTGTGCTCTAGAGTCTTGAATCACTACTTCCATTTTGCTCACTATCTCTATGGTTATCTGGGAAATTATTTCTGTTTTGGATTTTTCTAGAGCCTGATTGATCTGTTTTGTTACTTCCTGTGCTTTGAGTTCAGGGTGTCCTGGTGGTTCATTATTGGCCTTTTCACCCTCATTTGCCCTACTATTTGCCATTGGTGAACTGGAAGTCTGTCTTTGTGTCTTGCTTAAGTGTTTTCTCATTTTTATTTTTGTTGTCGGACTGTCCTTGGTTTAATCTCTGGGTTATCAACTAAATCTTCCTGATATAGTTGTGCCCTAGCTTCTGGGTCTCTAACAACCCGCAGACATTCTCATCTTCATAACATCAGAGAAAACAGCTCATCAAATCAACCACAATCCTTTATCCCAACTGATACAATCAGCAACACATTAACATCAAGCACAACTTGGAAACTGACCACCTGTGGTAGACACTAGTCAATCACCCTTAAACCATTTGAATTAAATTGAAATCAAGAAGCAGTCCAGAACATGTCTGCAGTAAACAAACTTTTCAATATAGTATATTTACCATTTAATGGCTCAGACAGAGCTAGGACGCAAGACCCCTGGTCTCAGTTAGCTGATGGCTGAACCCCATGACGCAGACTGACCTCGGGCTCCAAGGTCCAGATTGAGTTCCCCTACCTTCTGAATGGTTGAACTCCACACCGTTGTACTACAGATTTCCCACGCCCTTTCTTTAAAGATGTTCAAAGTTGGGAACTCAGAAAAATACACTTTATGACCACCTCTGCCTCTGCAGAGTGGGTCCAAAGACTGGCACAATTAGGTCTGAGAGTGCGGGGATTGGGGAGGTATGGGGAATTATGGGGGTTCAGGGGTACCCACAGGACTGATGCAGGAGCAATGGCAGCTCCAGGCGGGAGAGGGCATGGCTCAGCAAACTGGTTTTCAGTGTATATTTTCACAGATATTTTGGTAACTACTTTCAACCTCAGTGATTCACTTATATCACAACACTCCTGTCCTTCAATGATGCAGTGTTTAACCACCTGAGTTAGCATGCAGGGCCCATGTTATGTTAGCCTTTTTGCCACTGCCCCCTCTACAAATCCCTCCAGTAGAAAGGCTAACCAGACCCCTGCCTCTGAGCACAGGGGCTTTACTCAGGGAACCTAAGGTGGCCCCTGGGGTCTTTTAGGGAAGCCTTCCATTGATGCCTTAGCCCCATAACTGCTGTCCTCATCACTGC